AATTACACAATTTGGGAGGAAAAAATAAAACAAAACATGTATGCAGGCATTATTCACTTTCAGCCAACGTGTTCTCAGTGGTCACCTGCGCAGGGCCGAGTCCCACACCCAGATTTGGCCGAGGACAGCTGTTGGGCGGTCGTGGAAGTTGATGGATGGCCATTCTGGAGTGTAGGCTGATTGTGGTCTCTTAAACACGCTACCTCCTGGAGGTGAGAGGCCATTTAGCGGGATGAAATACTACTCTGTCACAGCTTCCTCACTCACAATTCAATCATGGAAAATTCTTGCCCAGCGCTGTCATTGGAATCATTACATTCAGAATTAAACATGGTGTAACAGAGCAGCCGACAAGACCCCGAGGTGCTGTTGACAGGTCAGGTCTCACATTAACAATCAGCTTTTTCAAACAGTGCATATGAAAAGGCCTGTAAATCTGGGTTCTTTTTTCTCCCTCTGGAGTCAGTGTCATCACTACCTGCTCCTGATTTGCTGGTCTGGGGCCACACAGCCTGGCCGTGTCAGCAGCGATGCCCCCCTGCCATTTCCCTCCTCCCTGCAGTCACTGGCATCACCTTAGAAACCGTCCCAACTTGGAGCCATTGTAGCCCTGAGACCCTCTTTGGAAGCCCCTCTCTGCCAGGTTCTCTTTCTTACCATCAGTTATTAAGCCCTTGGATTCATCCTTCTTTCCCGCACATCTCCTACCTCCCACCACATATCCCCTAACTGTCCGTTTGCCGGATATCCCCTCAGAGCGTCCAGCTTCATTCTTCTCTTGACATCCTTCATCTTTGTGATCCCTCCAGCATCCTCCGGCCACCGCCTCCATGGAGACAGCGTGATGCAGAGCCAGGAGAGTGGGCTTCCCAGGGCAGAGGTCGTGGTCTGTGCCCCATCTCTGCCTCTGCCCAGTTACACGGCTGTCTTGCATGTGACAACCTCACAGAACCTCAGTTTCCTGTCTGTAAAAATTCCCTCGCAGCAACCCCAGGAAACAAACCTTCATTCCTGTCACTTTATTTCCATCTCTGTCCGTACAAACTGTCTTGGCAACTCTAAACAACTTTTACAGCAATAAAACGGAACGCTTTAGCTGTGTCTACTGAAATCAATACAAAGTTACAACCAGCGTCCTCTGTCTTCAGCATCCTCTGAGACTGCGAGGAACTTAACGAAGAGGCTTTAAGGAAGCTAAACATTGACCTAACAGCGGCACAGATGTTTGTTACTAGCTTACTAACATGTTTCTCTTTGAAGGAAAAACTAGGTGATGGTATTGTCAAGTCTTAGACACTGAGGTTCTGTAATAAAGCACCACTTCAATAAATAAAATGTGAAATTCTCTAAGGCAGAAGTTGGCAAACTTTTACTGTAATGGCCAAATAGTAAATATTTTAGGCGCTGCAGACCTGCTGTTCTCGGCCACAGCCCCTCGCCTCCGCTGCGGTAGCGCAGTCAGGCCCAGATGCGTGTGTTCTAATAAAACTTTATTTACAAGCTACCCTGGGCCCAAAGTGTGCCAGCTCCTACTCTAAGGCATGAATGGAGATGACAGTGACCACAGCGATTCAGAAAATCAGATGTGCCTTGGGTGATTCTTCTAGGGTAATTCTGGAATCACTACGGCTTTGGGGTTAATGAGGCATGCCATCACTTTCTCGTGTGGGGCTGGGGGTGGGGTGGGCAGCGCAGAGCTCGGGTGGCACAGGGTTCCTGGAAGGGAACTTGGGCCGTGTAGGCTGGCTGTCGGCGAACCCATCCTGGCTTCCCACTCCTGGAGCAGAGAAAGGACTGCTTAGAGGAATCAGGAAGCCTGAGAAAATGAGGAATAACAATAAGGGTAACTTGCATTTACTGAGCCGCCTTCTTCGTCACCGCCTACGGCGCATCGTATCCCCATTTGACAGAGTACGTGAAGTTGCAGTGGAGAGAGGGTGTGCCCTCTGCCAGGATCACACAGTAAATGTCAGAGCCAGCGGAGGGCTTCCCCCTGGGGCGCGACACCTCCCTCCACAGACGTAGCCAGCTTTCCCTGGGACCCCCACCTTTGTGAGGGTTTAGAGCCAGAGAGAAGGGAAAGTCACTCTTCTCCCTTCTGGCTTTACATCCGAGCAGCTGTTATGTTTAAAACAAACTGTAACGGTGTCCTGACTTAACCCCTACTGTGTGCCGGGCATGAGCTTTCATTCTGTTATAAAATCTATTTTCTACCAGTTTCCAGAACTTCAAGGGGACAAGGAAATGGAACTCCCGACAATTAAGGAATCTGCCCAGGGGAGCCCCGCAAGTTAACTGCGCAGGCAGAATTTCACCGCGGTTCTCACCAGCGCCGTAGCGTTTTCCGCACCCACGACTGCCGTGCAGTTGAGAGGTTAAGCTCCCAGGCTCTAGGGCCAGACTGCCTGGGTTCAGATCTCAGCCCCACTGCTTGCTAGTTGTGTCACCCTGGACAAGCTGCTTAATGACCCCGTGCCTCAGTTTCCCGATTTGTCAAATTAGGGTGATGATGGCAATTCTCCCCTCACAGTTTGCTACGAGGGTTAAAGCAGGGACAGGCTCATCAGGAGCAGCACAGGCTGGGCTCTGTCCTGGACCGTGAGCTCTGTGGGCAAGGAGGCTGCTTTGCTTGCTGTGGCGTCTCTAGCACTGAGAATGATGCCCAGCACGCAACAGACAATATTGCTGCACGAAGGGAAAGCGTCAAACCAACTGGCCTCTAGACTGAGCCGTGACTGGGTTCAAAGCCAGCACGAATAAACATTCTTTCCCTTTTGTTCCCTTTTTGGGGCATAACTTGAATTTGCTAGGTAAAATTGGAGTTTTTGAAATCAAACCTTGACGCGTAGTCATGGAAACCAGTGATTGTCTTAGTAATGTGATGCTCCCAGGGATGGTGGATGTTAGCACAGACGTGGAGCTGAGGTTCCTAGCACAGAGCTTCAGACACACTCTCCTAATTCCTTGCTTAAAGGAGCTTGCTTATGTAATTCATTTAAAAATTCCTTTCATCCTTTTTAAAAACTCTAATGCTGTCATTACCACATAGATTTTTGTCTCTGAGAGTTTATTTTTACCGAGCTCATGTCATATTGAATACTGTGTGCTCTCAATCTCAGTCAGTGTTTAGTGGCAACAGCTGCCAGGAGTCCCTGTAATAAGTGAATTATGGTCCCATTTAGCTGGCGAGATTGCTTCGGATGTCTACGCTTTGGCACTAATAGGGGCTCCGGAGAGCCATGATGCGTCCAGAGAAAGGGCAACCTCAGGACCCAGTCTGAACATGTACACGAGGCGCATATTCAGGAAGTTGGGGAATGGTGGTGCCTCTGGAACTGACGGCTCCTGCAGTTGGGTTTATGTCCAGGTTTCTCGGATGCCGAGCCCCGTGTATTCCCAAGAACACCACCAAGACGCTGTCACAACTTAGTAGAAAATCATTTTCAAGGCTTTATTGGATTTATGATAATATTCATTCTGAGTGTTGATAAACATATACCCCTAACAATAGCAATGCACGGGGCTCTAATCTTTCTCCCTGCCTTGCATTGTATAAACTGTTATTTTCATTAAGATTAAGCACCTTGCCGAATCACACAGTGGGAGCTGATACCTCCTTAGGATGCTCTGCCTTCAACAACATGCCCGCCAAAAAGGTCTTTAAAGATCTCAGTAATTGGAGAGGCCAACATGAAGCAGCGTTTTGGTTTGTTATGATGTAGAGTCCTCTACATGGTTCATGTAAAACAATTGATGTGAATTAGTTTTACCCTGAAAGGTTTTTCTGCTTACAATCCAAACAATTTGTAGATGTATTCATCTGATTTGTGATTTTCATTAAGCCAAGAAGAACTGACCATCTAATACATTTTGGAAAACTTTGTGAGTGAAAGATTTGTTCCAGCTTAAAATATACATGCATGTGTGTGTGTGTGTGTGTGTGTGTGTGTGTGTGTGTGTATTTGACTATCCTGTAAACTAAACTATAAATTAAACCATAAGGCAAAGAGTTAAAGAATGCTGTGAGGTTGACTTTCGATACACAGTGAAGACTGATTTTTCAGGGATCCATTAGTAAAATTCAGTTTTGAGGTCAACACCGTGAAATCAGAATTTGTTCCAAAATGACAGCAATAAAGAGAGATAAGAGTTAGCCTGCGAGAGCTTATGGATAAAGCGTGAAGAGCCTTGGACATATGGTAAAGTGCCCTGACGTTTAATGTTCTATTGAAATAACAGCTAAAAATTTGTTATGCGTGAGAAATCATGTGCAAAGCATCTTACATGTATTATTTTATTTCATCGTTAGGTAGGCATATTAGTCTCATTTGCTGATAAAGAAAAAGAGAGGAAAATAGAGATTTGTGAAGGTCAAGTAGCTGCCAGAGGTTGCTGGGGAAAGGAAGCAGCAGAGCCAAGATTCAGACCTGGATAATTTGCCTCCGGGGCCTGAATTCTTGCCCAGGACAGAAGCCTAAATTACTAATGAGCTTGGCAGTAAACATGCTTCAGTTAAATATGAAAATAGTTACACGTGGACAACTAAAAATGTAATTCTATTATAAGTAGTAGAACAAATAATGAAATTGATTTCAGAATACATACAAACCTTTGCCTTAGGACCCTCAAAGAGCAATTTTACCTTTTTAGAGGGTGGGCTGTCAGGGAATGGTGACTTCACAGGAACCTGTAAGCTCTGCTTCTGTTTTAACATCCACGTTAGTATTTCTGCATCTTATTTGAATTCATTGACTAACCAACTGATAAAATCCTCTGTAAGTACTATTGTTCTTTTTTTAACCTAGACATGACAAATCTGACCTTAAAAGAAGTTAAAAAAATTGACGACCAGCATGCAGCAAGTTGGTAGCAAAGGTGATATTCAACCCAAGACTTATGATTTCAAGTCTAATGAATGATTTCCCACCTTCAGCTACGAAGGTGACAGACTGAGAACAAGGAAATGTCCCCAACGCAGCGTTTCTTCTTTCTCCTCCCAGGCCGCTACCCTCAGGAGAACAAGGGAACCTACATCCCGGTCCCCATTGTCTCCGAGCTGCAGAGTGGCAAGTGGGGAGCCAAAGTCATCATGAGAGAGGACCGGTCGGTCCGGCTGTCCATCCAGTCTTCTCCAAACTGCATTGTGGGAAAATTCCGCATGTACGTCGCTGTCTGGACCCCCTATGGCATCATCCGCACCAGCCGGAACCCAGAGACGGACACGTACATTCTCTTCAATCCTTGGTGTGAAGGTAAGGGCCAGGTGTTTATCTTTCTCATTGGAAAAACAGTCTGTGTATTTCTAAAGCATCTCTTTTTGGAGGGACAGCAGAGCTGTTCTAGAAGACATGTCCCTTTCCCATATACTGTTTACCATGATTAAAAGTCAGAAAAAGACACAAAATTTGTCCTCAATATATATGAAGTTAATGCTGCTGTACATTTATTCCAGGAAATGATTGAAGGTTGCACAAAGTTGCACAGTTAGCTAACTGGGGAGCTGTATGTTGATACCATCGCCTCTGTGCATGTCACTGCTCTGTAAGCAAAATGGCCTTATTTAACTTGACTTGCAAAACTACTGGAGACATAACCTGGCTCAGATAACCAGAGTCAGGTGGATCCTGTCCACAGTGAGACTAACTTCTCTATGTCGCTAATTCAAGAACAGAAAGACTGAATGTCTAAAGGATTCCATAAGTTTGTTTATATGCATAGTGGGTGCAAGGTTTACAAACCGTGGCTCTGGATATGCAAACATGTAGCTTTGTTGTAACATAACACAACTTAATCTCTACTGCTATTCTGAGTCTTCCTTTCTGGCTGCAGCAGAAGCTTCATCTATATTCAAATAAACTCAGTCAAGTCCAAGGATTTTTCTACCAATCCCATTTAAAAACTCAGTCACACTGGTGTTTTCCCCTCTCCCATCCCTGCCCTTCCATATCTGCCCTCTGCTTCCATACTTGGCACAAGGCTGATTTTAAGTTCCAGAGGCAGATGCTGTAGCAAATTGTGAGAAGAGGGTCCACTGTTAGATCTTAAGAAATAGGTAATGAAGCACATAAAAGCTGACACGGGGTCAAAGATTCTCACATCACCTTGCACCACATGCTCTCCAGTATCCTCCAGAATCAGTCTACGTTGTTGCTGATTTTGAACGTGAGAGCTGTATTTGAATCAGCATTGATCCAAACTTGCACACAGATGCTAAGTGAACGACAGTATTTTCTGCTCACGTGTAACAGAAACCCGGACCCTACTGACCTTTTCTCTGAAATCCCCATCGTCTTGTGCCCAATCGTCCTACCTATGAGACGGACGTTCAAGGCTGATGGTAACAGGAATGTTAAGTGGGCCACGGGCACTTCATAGGTCCGTTCCTGTTAACAGCAGCCTGGTCAGCCGGACACGAGGCGGTGTGCGACTGAGTGGATGGAGTGTTATTTACAGAGATGGAGAGGACTGAGTGGAGTGAAGGTGTAGAGACGAACTAAGACTTTGAACGTGTTCGGTTGGAGATAACTGCAGAGACCCAAGCAGAAACGGCAGGGAGGTATCCCGGTACGTGAATCTGGACGTGAGGATCAGAAATATAAGTCTGGGGCTTGTCTGCATCTTTGGAGAAAATACAAATAAAGAAGGGAAGAAGGTGTAGTATCAAGCCCCAGGAGGTCGGCACGTAGGGGTCTAACAGAGAAGGAATTAGCAGAGGAGACTGAGACGGGCGAGTATGTGGGAAGCGGTCTGTTGTAAGAAATTTGTATTCAAAAAAGCCATTCTTATGAAATTAGTAAACCAAGAGTTTGCTATTGACTTTGTTTGCATTACAGAAAGATAAGCATACAGCTCTGTATAACCGCCCAGCACCCGAAGGTATTTAAAGGATGGTGTGATTCACCCAGACTTTGGTTTGTTCACGGCTTTTCTGGACGACCCCATCTGTGTGAGATGGGGTGTATGTCTACGTGCATTTCCACTTCTGGGGCCACTCTTCTCGAGGGGAAAAGGGTCAGTCTGACGTATTGACGTTACGGGAGGACCATTCAGGAGGTGGATGAGCTAATAACCTTCAACTACCCGATCACTGCCCTGGTCGTCCCTCGTAGCCACAGTGAGCATCTTCCAGGTCCTTCTGTTCAGAGTCACCTAGACCTAGGGAAGGCATGGCCCGGCGCGCGATGCCGTGTTCCAGAGAAGGGGCACAGGGACCTCCCCTGGGCGTCACTGATGGGAGGAAGGTGGCAATAAAGCCAGAGAGATCAGTTGGGAAGCTGTGGCCCAGGATGAAGATGATGATGGACTGGACTACAGTGGTGGCAGTGGAGATGAGGAGGAGGGGATAGATTGGACAGCACTGGGTTTAGAACAGAAATCACAGTGGGACTGAACATGGGAAGCAAAGCAGAGGGAGGAGTCAAGAATAACTCTAGGTGACTGGCTTGACCTGTAGGGTGGATGTTGGTGCCATTTGCAGAGCTGGGAAGGCAGGGGGAGGCGAAGGGGAAGATGTAAATGTGAAACGAATAGTTACATTTAGAAATGTTAATTTGGTGACATCTGTGAGATGCCTGAGGGAAAATGTCCAGTAGGCACTTGAATAAGTGAGTCTAGAGATCAAAGGTGGTGGCTGAGTTAGAGCCTCAAGTGTGAGCGCCCTCAGGGCTGCTGCGTAAGTGCAAAGGCGGGACCAAAATGGAGTTAGTATCATCGGCTATTAGAGTCTAAACAAAGGACAAGGAGGCTGGGAAGGAGCAGCCAGCAGGCCGAAGGAAGCCAGGGGAGTGGCCTGGCAAGGGGCAGAGAACTGACTCAAGAAGACAGCGATGAGCCATTTGGGATGCTGCTGACTTGTTGACTCGGGTAAGAAAAGAAAGTGGTCATACCCTGTGGAATACAGACGTCACTGGAACATTAGAAAGATTGTTTTCCTAGAGCGATGAGGACAGAAACCAGTCATGTGGGTGCGGGCCGCAGTGCAATAGGAGGTGGGAAAGTGGAGGTAGCAGGAATGGCCGTCTCCTTCCAGAAGACCTTCTGTGAAACAGATGGTGATGTGAAGGTCAAAGGAGAAGTTTTTAAAGACAGGACAGAGTGGGCATAAATTTGTGGTGATGGAGACCAACCAGGGAAAAGAGAGTTTACTGCCCAGAGAGAAGACAGTGGTTCACGAGCTTGGCTGCACCCTGGGGGGCTGGCTACGGAGGCTGCAGGCTCCCCATCCAAACATTCTGATCGGTCTGGAGTCCAGCCTGGGCTTTTTAACAAGCTCTTCAGGTGATTCTGCAAGACGCTGCTGAGAGTCACTAACTCAGGGAGGGAAGTCCTCGCGTGGGCGGGATCCAGGGGACAGGGGAAGAGCCCTGCGTAGGTGAGACTGCCCATCCTGTGCTATGACAGGAGCGAGTGGATGTGGGTGAAGAGGCAGGTTTTCTAGACCCAGTGGGAGGAGAATGAGGTTGCTCCCACCTTGTGATTCTCTTTTTCTCAAGAAAGTGCAATGCAAACTCATCTGCTGAGAACCAGAAGCAAGGAGGGAGTGCTGCAGGCCAGTCGGAGAGGATGTGGGAGCTGGCACGTGGGAAGCAGGCTGACCACGGGGACACGCAGGCGGGTCTGCCCTGCTCCCAGAACACGGGGAAAACTGCCCCGGTGCCCCAGGCGCTTGACCTGGGAAGGTCCAGGTGTTTCTGCTGATCTGTCGGGGATGTGGTTACAGTCATCTCCGCCAGTAGGAGTCCTGCTTCCCCCAGTGCTGGTACCTGAGCTGCCTCAGAACCATTAAAAACAGCTGCACAGACCATCCGTGAATGTCTAGACGTTAACTGCAACGTGGTGTGGAGGGTGAGAGGAGGAGAGGCTTACAGTCACCTCTCGGTATCCCGGGGAGAGGGGGGGGGACACGGTCCCGGGGCCACCACGGACACCGAACTCCGCGGGCACCCAGTTCTGTCTTTGCCCTTTGTGCTCTGCATACCCCGCAGATTCAGCCAAAGGCGGGTGGGAAGTACAGCGTAGGATGTGTATTTGGTCGAACCCGCGGGAGCGGAGGACCCGCAGAGCTGTGGTTCAGGATGTGGGCGCGTCAGAAGCCCTGGCAGGGCCTGCTGAAACTCCGCTCCCGTGCAGCAGCCTCGCGCTGGGTAGGGCTGGGTGGAGCCTGAGAACTTGCATTTCTAGCCAGTCCCCAGGGGATGCTAAGCTGCGGGCCAGGGACCACACTCAGGGAACCACTGGTTTGCGTAATAGTCACAAAATAATAATTGCAAAACACCGGAGACTGTGTTTACCCTTCTTAAAATTCCACTGAGTCCTCCCTACCAGTCTCTGCGCCTCACTGCCTCTTCTCTGCCCGCTCTTATTTCGCCTTATTCTTCAAACTCTCCTCTCCCATCCTCTCTCCGCAGTAACTCTGATATTCTCTCATGCACAGCACTTCAGCCGGCTTCTTAACTTGTGTTCTTTGGCCTCTCCAATAGTCAGACCACACACTTTGGTACTACACACTTTTCCAAAGCTGTTCTCTCCAGAGAAGTTCTGGCGCCAGCTTTTAAGCTAATACCTTTTACCTTTTTACATTAGTACTCACTGAGATCTCCCAGAGAAGGTTAATGAAATGAGAGAAAGAGGTTATCTCATTTCTCCCATCCTGTGGTTTTCCCAGCCTGGAAGCCGAAGTGTAACCCAACAGCGGGGTCTGTGTGGTGCACCCCACACACAACCACACACACTGCAGCCAGACAGTCACCCAGCTTTGGCCTCGCACCTGCTAGTTCATTACAAGGGACTCAGAAGGAGACAGTCTGGCAATTGGAAAGTAGATAAAAGGAGGCACCATGGCCCAAGTGGGAAAGATAATACCAGGGAGAGTCAGAAGCTGTCAAAATAGAGCAAAGTGAGCGAGGTGCTGGCAGCACCACACTCTCCGTGCGGAGGTGACGTCCAAGGAGGCTGCAGACACGGGGCTGAAAATCCTGCGGGCCGGCACAGCACTGATGGGTAGGGAATGTTCAGCTGTGTTCCTGGGGCCTTCAGCCTGCTCTGCGCTCACAGGCAGTTCATCCTCCGTAATCACTAAATCGTCATGGGGATCAATAGCAAGACCGTGTGACCGAAGGCGGGTGGATATGGGGAGAATTATCCGTTAGCCCTTTCATCTAATAGGGCTGCCAGGCTTCAGATCCATCCCGGGGGGCGCTCCTCCGGGTGTTGGAGAGACAGGTGTTCCCACAAAGGCAGCGGCGACAGGGAG